AATAGAAAATAGAATTTTTGATCGAAAGTTTCGATATATTGTTCGAGCACTTGGAAATTTCCGAGAATTTGACGTCAGTTCCAAGAACATTAAAAATTCTCAGAAGTTGACGTCAGTTCCAAGAAATGTAGGGATTCCGAGAATTCGACGTCATTTCCAAGAATTTCAGAGATTCCGAGAATTTGACGTCATTTCTTGGAAAAATTCTTCGATCGACCTCCTATCATGTCATGTTCTCCTAATACAAAGTCGAATTTTTGGACAAAAGTTTCGTTCATTCGAATATTTGGAAATTTCCGAGAATTTGACGTCAGTTCCAAGAATTTTAAAAATTCTCAGAAATTGACCTCAGTTCCGAGAAATGTAGGGATTCCGAGAATTCGACGTCATTTCCAAGAATTTCAGAGATTCCGAGAATTTGACGTCATTTCTTGGAAAAATTTTTCGATCGACCTCCTATCATATCATGTTCTCCTAATACAAAATCGAATTTTTGGACAAAAATTTGTCTTCGATCGGGGAATTTCGGTGTTAACTTTGTTTTTTAAATATCTCGTTTATTGTTGAAGATATTAAAAAATGTTTCGAATAAAAGTTGAATGGTTTCAAAAGGACTATATTCTGGTGCTCTCAGTTTTTTCATAGGTTGACCAATAAAAAACTTTTCAAGCTTAACTTTATTTTTTTATATATTATCATATACTTTTTAAAAGAGCAATGCATGTATTGTGATATTCTTTATAAAAAATATTAAATCATATTTTTCGAAAAATTTATTAGTTCAGGAGATAATTAAATATAATTGGATATCTCTTAAACTAATGAATTTTTGCTTTAATGTTGTATTTTGTTATTAAAAGTAGTATGGTATTTTTAATTAGGCCTCAAAAAATATAGAAATCTATTTAAATAATAAATTAATTATTTTTCAGTTTTTGTTTTTTATAGGAAGAGAGAAGTATTCACATAATATTGTGTCCCTTTTGAAACTACATTACTTTTATTTGAAACATTTTTTAATATTTTTTAGAATTGAGATATATCAATTAATACTATTGAGACTCGGTATATCACATTATATAATCGGTATCTCTTTAACTTTTTATTTTATTAAAAAGTGTTTCGGATAATATTGTATAATTTCATGAAGGAAATACTCTGATATTAGTAATTTTTTCACAAGTAAATGTGTCCAGGATTTATATCATGAAATTAATTTTGTTATTCTAAATGGAACCGTACGTTTTTTACTATACTAATAAATGCATCTTTATATTCTCCATAAGAAAATACTAAGCCATTTATAGGCAAAGAGCATAAATTCTTAATTCGTGAATGTTAGAATCTCATCGGTCAGAAACCCATAAAGAAATCGGTAACACTTGACGATCGATAGAAAAGAAATTCCTCCTTTCTCGAAATTCCGACAAGCATTAAGCACGCATACGTTCGAGGAATAACACGATCCTCCCCTTTTCTCCGATCGGCCATCCCCTTTCTCGGTTGAGGGAAAGAAGAGTTTGTTTCAACGACATCGGGAATAGTAGCACTCGCGGGAGAAAAGTGGACGTGTAAGAAAGGGTGAGGCGAGAAAACGTTTGAAGAAGGGTCAGAGGTGATCGGCGGCAATACTGGCAACGATGGCCACGGTGGTCGGATCCCCGTGGGATAGCACGTTATTCGCTTGCGACTCCTTATACCCGAAGACACGACTCGACCCTTGACCCATCGAACCAACCTTCTGTCTCTGTTTTTCTTACACGTCCTCCACGTTTTTCCTCTCCCTTTTTTCTTTTTTGGGGGGGTTTCTTGCCCTCTCTGCTTCTCTCGATTTCCCCTCTGGAATGACTTTCTCCTTTTCCCACCCTTTGCTCCCTATTTCTTTTCGCACGTTCTCTTAGCGCGAGTCCCACTGTTTCACGTTATATACCCGCTGTCCTTCTCGTGTTATACGACTGTCGGTGGTGGATGGTCATAAACGTTTTCAACGTTTCCACGATCCACCTATGGTAGCTCGCAGCGACAATTATTGGCCACGAGCCACGTTGTTAAAATAACTGACGATTCTTGCTGAGCACGTGCTTCTTGATGTCCGTTGACGTAAGGGAATGGAGGATCATCGTTATCATCGTTATCAAGGCTCTCGTTATCGCCGCGTTTCATCAACTTTTCGAATTTTCCTCCCTTGGTTCGGAGGATGGATCGATGAGATTAGGGGAATTGAGAAGGAGCTTGATTTTGATTCTTTCTTGTTGTGTGTTTCAAAATCTTGTTTTGCGGTTTTTCCTCTGTTCTATATTTTATCGAGTTTTATCCGACGAATTATTTATCGAGCTTTGCTTGTGAATATATTCGTGTATTTAAACTTTAATGAAGATTAAAAGTTTGTTATATGTTTTCTAGTTAATATTTAAATATTATATCAATATTTAAATGTTAATCAAATAATGTATATTAATCAAGGGAGAAAATAAGGAAATAAAATAATTAATACGTGATTAGAATATGAATAAAAAATTTAAACTTTCTTTATATAAAAATTAATATTAACGTCGAGTACATTTGTTTTTTTTTTTTTTTTTTTTTTTAATATATTGCACGTATACAAGATCTTGTCGAACACGTGTTTCTTAATATCCCTTGACGTAGAGATACGGAGGATCACTCGTTACCGTAACTTTCACCAACTTTCTGACTTTCTCACGACTGGTAGCACGAAAAGTTTCAGAAATAAAGAAGTTTTCGAGAAGGAACACGACTGCTCGCATTGCTAACGGCTACGTAATTGCAGATGTGTGTCGAAACTGTGAACAGGTTCGTTATGGTTCCTGCGGTGGTATTGAAAAACCCTGCTCGGTCGGAATTAAGCGCTGATCCTAATCGTAATTACTGCCAATTTTGAAGAAGATCTGATGAGATTAGTAGCAGTAAAGTTAATTTATTTTTTGCGTATTCCCTAATTATTACTAATTAGTACATTGGAAAAAATAACAAATTTTAAGAACCTTAAACAAAGGGTTTAAGAAAGGATCGATCTTTCGCGCGATTTAAATATCTAAGAAAAATATTCTTGATCCCACGTTTATCTCACAATTTCCTAAAATTATTTGATAAAATTTACACCTATATATCAACTTCCTCGACTTTATCGCGTCGCGCAACGACCGCATTGTGCCGAAGAAAGGAAAGGAAGGATAAAAGGAATAACCACGGATGATCGGGGATAATAAATCGATACTCGTAATCATTTTTCGATTACAAAACGAAACACAGGGTAAAAAGGTCATCATCCGTCCAGCTCGAAAAGTATTGACCCCCATATTTTCCGAGCAAACTATCCGCTCCAACTATTTACTCCTGGAAACCGCGAGAAAGAATCAATCTTTTTTTTTTTTTTTTTTCAAATCGATACCTCTCCCGTTTACTCTTCTCCTTCGAACGTTTCTCGAAATATTTCTTCGACCGAGTAATATTTATTCAATTTATCCCGTGAAACGATTCTCCATTCATCGTTTCCTTGCTTCTTAGTGCGATTTTCGAGGCGCGAATACAGCACGGCACGAAAGGAGGAAGGGGGAGGAGGTTGGATGGAGAAGTATTTTTGCTGAAATAACCACCTCTGCTAGCCTCTACTTCATTAATGTGGGTTCAGAATTGCTGCTCGTACCATCGTTGACCATTTAGTAATGTTTCGCGGCCGCTTAATGAATCCTGATAGATTCCCGCTAATATTTCGTTCGGTTCAATTTTGGCTCGGGCCGGAAGGGGAGTCGGGGGTTCCGGCCGCCGAAAAGCCAACATTTGTTTCCGGTGAAATCGAGCACGATGGAATTGAATTATGGGCCGTGGTTCGCGTTCTTCTTTCATGAATAGAATAGAAATGGAATGTATATTCTGTTTTGTGTGCGTAGAAGGATATTTTGAAATGGTATTGATATTTGTAACGAGTGGATTTTTTTTTTTTTGAAGAGTGGAGTAGAGACGATATTAAATGGTTGTAAAAATTTGATTTGAAGTTTAATTGAAAATTAAAATTATATTATTATAACAGTGATATTTGTTTTTAGATATTTTATAATTTTGAAATCTGAAAAGTTTAATTCGAGAATAAATCTTCCGATTTATTTATATTTATCCTTTGAAGAAATTTTATCGTATTAGATACGATACGGTTTGATATTTTTAAGAAAAGATTGATTTGTATATGAGATATATGGAATGGAAATCGAAGAGAAATATTGTGGATTTTTTCTCAACAAGATAATATTATAAATTTTAAATATTATTCAATTATATTCTACAATTTTTCTACATTATACAAAGATGTCTTATGTTTAATGTCCAATGTTTAAATTTTAAATTCTCGATTTCTCGTCAGTTAATAATGCTTGCGAAATTGAAAGTATTACCTTTCGCGTGAGCGAAAAGCAAGAGGCTCTAAATCACACACTTTGGCCTATTTTCTCGAAAATGAAGAAAGACGGCGAGATGCGCCCGAGGGAGGGTAGAATTCTTCCTGCGGTTCAAATTAGTGTTTGAATACGACGGATGGTCATTGAAATTACTCGGAATGTCCGTTTACTCTCTGGAGAACGCTTACTCGACTGGCATGGTCTATCGGGGGATCAATCTTGACGGTGGAAATTCGACGAAAAACAAATTGTTCCACCTGCTTCCTGCTATTTCGACCACCGTTGTTCAAAAAAGTTTCTTCCGTGATTGACGTCCACTTGATATCTATTGTATCGAAAAGGATATCAAATATTCGTTTTACTTTGGATAAAGAAATTCTTACCATTACGTTTCTCCGTAGTTAGAGGGGGAAAAAAAATTATTTTAAATGGTTGTACAGTGTAATATGATATCAAGGATTTAAGGATTTAAGGAAAAGGAAAAATTGGTAGTTAGTGACATTTAAATGAAAATTGCAAAATAAAAAAAAGAAACTTTATTCGATAAAAATCCAGATTATCTCGACTTTACAAGGTTTCTTTTTTCAATAACTCGTTAAGAAAATCTCGTATTTATCTGTCTCGTTGTATTCGTACCATACATCACGTAAAACTCCAGTTTTTATTAATATATTCTCCGGTTGTTTATTACTATATTAGATTCTCATAAATTCTCACTTCTGAACGTAAAATTCCACTAATCTTTTACAAAGAGATACGAGATATTTTTAAAACGTAGCTAAATTAATAATGCGTTTATTATTACATTGAATAAATATAATATGCGCAACATCGTTATAGCCAACGAATGATTTTTAACGTAATATATAAACGCACGTTTTAATACACACGTATCTCGAAATAAACGGGCGATTTATGCCCGTTTAATAATTTTCCACGACAAACGAAACGGGGAGGGATTGAACGGCCCCTCATAAACGCCTGCGTGCCTATGGCGGATATTAAAATCGGTAAAAGAGCATCCTTGGAAGAGTCATGTGAAAAACTCATTAAAATCGTTGTCAACCGATTAAACCAAATAATAAGTGTTTGGACCTGGTTGGCCGACGTTCGTTCGAATTAATTTTAATTGCAATTTGCTGGTGATACTGCCTTATCGATATTCATTATTTAAAGACATATTAATCGTAGCCGACCCCTCCACTTAATAGAAATGGCTGTTATTAATTTCACGATTAATAATATCTCATCGGCATAAAATCTGTATTATCTCGGAAACAACCGTTGCATCGTTGATCTTCCATCAATTAATCAAAATGACAACTAAATATACACGGCCATTTCTTGTCCAATATCGTATTTATATATCTTGCTTATTTTCAAATAGTTTAAATTATATTATAGATGATGGTAATAAATTATTACTTGATAATCATTATCAATATTTTTAATTCCATTTTTTTCAACTTCATAGCGTATCATTCCTAAAAAAATAAAAAAAATGAATGAACGAATGAATGAATAAAATAATTCTCAATACAAAGTCGAACGTATACCGATAATCTCCCATATTCTTCATGCTACCACCATACCTCTGTACAAGTTTCGAGGGATTAAATCGTGGGTCGCAAAGTTGGATGGATAGTTCCGTGCTCCGTGGTATTACCCTTGTAAATTTTCGGATACACGTGGAAATACATTTGTTGGAAAAACAAAAAACAAAAACGGCGTCGCGTCACGTATGCATCGGTGGGCTAAGAAAAGTGGCAGTTTCACGAATACGTGCGGAATATTCTATGCCAATCAAATTGTGAGAACGCATCCGTGCACGCTTACAAATGTAAAATTGATACAAGTACTTAGAACTTTATTAAATGTAGAAAAACTTCTCTCTATGTACCATCTTACATCTTCGAATATTTTTTAAAATTTTTTCCCATTCACATTCACATTCTTTGTCAATCCCTCTTGGAAATTTATTTATCGACGAGTACTCACAAAAACGGAGAAGTTTCTTCGTTTTTTAATTATTCCAAAATTGTGTTCCATTATCTACAAAAAAAATATTTCCATTACTCTTTCAAAAATCGTAAAGAATTCGAATTAAGAAGTACAAAAAAGAAAAAAAAATATCAACTCCAAAACATCTCTAAATATACATACCTTCATTTGAGAAGTGTAAAATAAAAATATCTCGGTTAAAAAAAGAAAATTAATAAGTCTCAAGTCCGAGCTCGAACGAGAATTCTCTTTTCCTTTTTTTTTTTTTTTTTCGAGACATCGACAAACGAAGACGAATTTCTCGATGAAAAAAAAGAAGAAGGAGGGGGATGTCTTTCAAGCAGTTTCTTCTTGACCGTTATTCCAGCTTACACAAGTTGCCAGCTGAGCCGGATAATCGCATTAACAATTACGCGCCGGCTCTACTGCGAGTTATCTAAATTGATTGCAAGAGTAATTGCATTCGCCGCCGAGGTTCCACCGCGTGAAATTAAAGCGCGCCGTTTTAAGCGTGTGCACATCGTCCATTGATATTTACACCTGTGCATTTTGGGATCCCGTGAAATTTTCCAGACTTCCTGCTGTTCTCGATTCTCGATAAACGATTTTCCAAACTCGTCGCTTTATGGATTATCGAGGAATTTTTAATTTCGTACATATTCAAACTGATTTAATTATTAATATGTTATTATTATCTTCTTTCCTCTCATTTATACAACTTGATGGATAAAAAGTTATTTCATTTTTGTTTCTAATGTCGCTTTTTGAGTAATATCTATGCGTATTTATTATGATACAATTATTTGATTTGTCATCGTTGAAAATTTTACTTGAACGGATTATAAAGAGTTTCTTTTCTTTCAGATTGATTAAACGAATACTGGAATATCAACGCGATTGCGAGCATAAAATTAGGGATTCAGGGTGTCTCAGAAACTGGTTCTCAGATAAATATTTATATTTAGTCGCATTTCGGATACTATTTAAATAATAGAAACACCGGGGGAGTCGAAATTGCCAAGCGTAGTGTAGTACCACGATGCATTAAGAAGCGAGAATAAGGGAATGTCCGAGGGAAAGTACTCGCAATTAAAGTTAATGGCCCACGTCTCGCTTCGAGCTTATATAATTGTAAGTGCTAATTACCTTAATCTATAGTCATCTGTTTTATTACAAATCTTCCCGTATTGTGCCCATTAAATTTTATACTCCCATTTGGGTACTTTTCGTTCTGTTTTGATTTTTTCACTCCGAAAGAAAATTGAAGATAAATTTTAATCAAAATCTCGAGTTTCCAAGAAAACACTATATCCAAGCAAATATATATTTCCACAGAATGATTCCTTCATTCTCGTATCGGAAAGGAATTATTTCCTCAAATTTCTTCAATTTTCTGATCGATCTATCCTTTCAAATCCCAAAAAAAGATGCTCTCCTGCAACATTCCCCTGGAACAAAAATTACCACCATGAGATACGCCTTTTTCTTTCTATTTCCACGCGTACGTGCAATCCGTTCCAGGATCAACCCCAGAACAGGATCGCACGCGACAACGTAACAACCCGACCGTTTTCTCCGCGTTTCCAATTTCAAGTGGCTTCCTTTCTTTCTCTCTATCTCTCTCTCTCTCTCTCTCTCTCTCTCTCTCTCTCTCTCTCAGCGCGTTGCCAACAAACAGACCATCCCCTACGTTGAAAGGCAGAGACGAGAAGGGGATGGAGAAGCGATGAGAAGGAAAGGATGAGAGGAAACGATAAGAAAAGCCGTAAGATAGCGCGTAAGATATTCCAGGCGAGGTATGGCGAGGTACCTTATCCGTGGCCACGGTATGAGAAAGAAATCTTTAAACGCGGCGCTTTGATTCATAGGTGGCCGCCTCGCCACTGAGGGACAGGAGAACGTGACCCGGCATCAAGTGCCCTATAAAATATTGCGGCCATGTAAATATCCTCGTAAAATTCAGTTCGACCAGTCTTGGGCGCCGCATCGACCACGTTTTCTCCTCACGTTGTTGATACGATCGTCGAGATATCTCGTCGATTTTTTTTTTTTTTTTTTTTTTTCGTCGATCGTTGTGACAATGTTGTTCCGATTTTTATCTGATCATCATCTGGAGAGAGGGGATGCAATTTCGGGGATGATTGAATGAGAATAGGTGATAAGATGTGGTAACGTATTTGCCATCTTTGGTTATACTTGGACAATTGCCTGTAAAAAGTGTTTATATATATTTGTAGAATTGATTGATATTTGTAAATAATTTATATTATGTAGGATATTTGATTCGTATCATATTATGGAAATGTAAAATATTCGTGGAATACCTTTTTAGGGATTTTAGAGATCAAAACCAAATGTTAACAAAATTTTTGTAGCTTTTTAATAATTTAATAAAATTAGTAATTTATTTGTGTAATGATATGACAAATGAGCCGATTAGAAACTGGAAATATATGTATATACATGATTTAAATGTATATATTAGATTTATACGCTTTAATTTATACAGCCTTGGGAATTGTTTAGGGCACGTATGGAAAACTAATTATGAAACATTGTAAAGTTTAATAATGTATTATAATTTTCTGATACGATCTAATAATGTAATATACCTAAAACATTTGATATTTAATCTTATAATAACCCATTTTTTGTTTTTCTTTATTATATAGTATTTCTTTTTAACAAGAATCAAATAAATCAATAATTTTAATCACACAATTTGGACGATTTTACTCGAATAATGACCAAGCCTAGACGCCAAACAACTCGCGAAATAATTACAACGAAATCTTTCATAAAAATAAAAATCAAATCCAATTTCAAAGATCTCGAAATTTCATTTAATGCGTAAATCACATGCGAATCAACCGTACAGGAGGAACTCTGTACAGAGTATAAACAAGAATCAATTTTCTCCTCGTTCAACTTTATAAACATTAGATCCATCTCTCCAAAACATCTCCCCTCCTCCTCTCTCTTCCTCTACCTCCGAGTCTCTCCAATCATCGAATTCGAAACGTGAGTTTATACATTTTCGAACATTTTCGCTCTTCGAGCAACAAATTTCCTTCACCTTGCAATATTTAACAGAATTTCACAGAAATGTTTCAGATATAGACCTTCTATAATATTAACCATCTTGCCACGAGCTACGAGATCACGAGAAAGAATTTAATAAATTATTTCTTCACGGAATTGGGCTCGAAATTTCTAAATGTTGAATAATAAAAATTAAGCGATTTCATCCAGTTGGGGAGAAGTTGTGGCAGTTCTTCTCGATTCTTCGTATGGATGGTCGGATGTCTCGATGAAATAAATTTTTACCCCGCAACTCGGTTCAATGCGCTTCCGGCCACCGTGTATCCACCGAGTTCTCAACTTTGAAACGCGTGCTGTGTACGCGAATTTTGCGGCCGGGTGCATACCACCTCGCGGGATCTTCACAGCCCCAATCAAAAAGTTTCCTGATTCATTGAAATTTTCATTGCCAACTTTTTCGCAAGAAACACTCCTGAAAAGGAACGTTTCTCACGTTGTATCTAGTCTTCCTGCATGTTTAGCTGGATGTTGCAAGTATACTTATATTTTTTTTTTTTTTTCGTTAAAATTTCATTTCGTAATTTTATTTTAAATTTTTTCAGGTTTTTTTTTTTTAGTAAAATTACAAAAGTATAGAAGATATATAAATTACAAGGACTATGTGGAAAGACTATGTGGAAAGACTATGTTGAAAAATTTTTGTATTAAATATGTCGTTTGAATTAATATTTGTTTATGAATTGCTGTTGATCAAATATTATTTCTTGTTGGATGCGATAAATTGATTGGAAATGTTTGAAAATTATATATATTCGTAGGAAAATAAATCGAAACGAATGATAACTAATTTCAGTGAGGGAAAAAAATGTCAAATCGAGGAGGGAGTTTGTAATGAGAACCGAAATTGAGTAAACGATCGAGATCGAACGTGTAATTGTTGGTTTAAGAATTCGTAGCTTGTATTTAGTTAAGTAAATATCAACGTAATTTGATTTGCCAACGAATTCTTTTAGTTTGTGCTAAACAGGAATAAAGAGAAACAGGAAAAAAGAAGTTTAATGATTTAAAAATATTAAGCAAGCAAGCGGTGATAAAATCTTCTAGATAGATTTAAATGTGAAATGTAGTTTGAATATTTTCTTGTACAGGGATATTGAATAAATTTAATTTTCTCATTCGTGAAAAGTAATATCTATTTGAAGAAATATAATAAAAAATTTTTAAGATAAAAGAATAATTCGTGTTATTTTGTTAAAAATATATTAAAGATATTCAAATATAAAACTCTGTTTCTCAAAATTAGAAAAACATAATTTTCATTTTAAACTAATTTTGAGCATTTCATATTAGACAAGGTATTGTAATTATGCAACAATACAGATAAGATCCTCGCTATTTATTTAAGGATGCGCTATTTCTCTTTATCGCGAATTCAGCCATACAAATATTGGAAATGATTTTTAGAGTTGAAAGAGTTTTTAATGGTTGCGTTCTTTCATACGAACTGTCATAAACTGCTGACCCGCACTCACGTAAATGACATTTGATATTTCAGGAAACCTTTCCCATTTATTTTTCCCTTATCTTTCGCGTGCATTTGTAAAAAAAAAAAAAAAAAAAAAAATTATCTGTCATCTTTCGGAAAAATTTAAAATGATCCGACAGAATCTCTGATACGATCGAATCCTTGAACGTGTTTTGTAATAAATTACAAAAAAAAAGAGAGAGAGAAAGATATAATAAAAAGTCAAAACAAATATAAATTCACAACAGATTTTTACATATAAATTTAAGAATCAAAAGATATTCCAATATCTCAAAAAATCACTCTTAAATATACATTCTTCTTCGTATACGAAATTTCTTCTTCGTTCCTCGTTTAACATTCGACCAACTTAGAAATCACAATTCAAGATAAAAAGATATTTACATACAACTTCCCTCGATATATATATATCTCTCTCTCTCTTACCAGAATAATGTCAACAAAAAAAAAATCCTAAAATATGATAAATAAGCAGCAGAGTTTTCAGTAACACGATTTCGCACGAATTACATTATATTCATATTCGACCGAAATCTCACGCGGCAAAAAGTCACGCCATACCATAATGCAACCGCTTTAACCGCTTCTCTTGTTTCTTGTTGGGCGGTATCGTGGCGAGCCAGTCGTCGCGATGGTACAAATTCGAATTCCGCAGGTATCGCGTTTTTCCTTCGGAAATATGGAAGGAGAAGGGGGAGAGAGAATCAGTTTCTTCACGAAGCGACGTTTTATTGAGCGCGCCCTTTATTTCGCCCAAGCTCACCCCGGTGATATATATTCGATTGCATAACTGTCGTTCCACCTGTGTTGGAGATACCACGGGGAGGGCTTACGTCTAATTTTTCATTGTAATACGATTTACGGAAACTTCTCAATGCGCCGCCGTCCCAACGCGGTGTACCGCGTAACTGGGGCAAGCTGTATTTTTTAAAACGATGGGGAAGGCGTCGTGGGACAAGATGAAATTGCGTACCGCGTGATATATACATTCCGGAATTAATTTTATATTTTTTTCCGTGGACACAATTTGAAATATGTATAATAATCGTGCTTGATGAAATTTTATTCTTTTTTCCATACGAGCGTAGTAATAGAGACAAGCACACCTCCATTTTTGTTTAATCGCGAATCCATGTTTATATTTTTATGATTAGACGAAATCTTAGATGATTCTTTTTGTAATATAACAATATGCTTGGGAAAAGTAAGTGAAGATTTGGAAGATTCATTTTCAGTCGATCGATGATAAGAAAATTTGGGAATATGTATTAATTTGTTTTCACGCTTAATTGAAAATTGAAAGGGAAATTGATCCAAATTTTAATTAAAAGAAAAAAACTCGAAACGTTTCATTTTACAATTTACTCATCAATTTTCATATAAAATTCGTTTACACGAAATGTAGTTAATTCGATTCTGTATTCATGAAAATATGCAATATCTTATCGTGCACGGTAGAAAATAGTCAATTCCATTAAATTTCTGCATGAATATGCGCATATATTTATTTCATATTTCATAATCGAAAGGAATATCTACATTGTGGGTAACGAATCAAGAGTTTGAGGAAAAACGTGATAAAACAAAGGGAAGGATATGAATAAAATGTTACTAGGTACTTTTTGTCTGGTATAAATTATAATCAAAGATTGGATTATTTAAAGAAAAATTGAGTTTCAAAATTAAGATTGATCGAAAATTTATTTTTTTTCACTTGTTTTAATAGTTTTAAATCGTAATAATTGACAAAAAAGAAAGTTGGAGAAAAATTTGTAAGGAAATTTTTATTATATAACACTTTTCAAATATTATAATTAAAATGTATTTAAAATATATCGCGAAAAGAAAGGAAAAAAATCA